TTGCCGGGTTACTACCACAAGGTGAGGTTCCTTTTTATTTCCCGCTGCTTTTCACACACATTGGCTCTCCAGTACAGGTTTAGCTCTGAGTGTTAGCGCATGCTAATGTAAACACCGACCCATATTCACGTTCCAAAACAGTCGGGCATTGTTTCTGATAGCAGACGTTTCTGATAGGGCCGTGGGTCCACATTTCAGATATTACGTCATATCGGACGCAAATCTAGCTCCGTTGTTCCCCGGTTTTTAGAGATTTGGGTACGGAGGAAAAGAGAGAGGGTTTTATTTTCTGACGCTGCGTGAGTTCCCCGACACACCGGGGACACATCTTTATGTATAAAAGACATCAAAAAGTGCATTTTGCATGATAGGTCCCCTTTAAACTAAGGCATCTATCTACTGTCTCCAGCTTCGATCTTATAATCTAAAACTGGCAAAAACAAGGATGTTTCCTGTAAAGTTAGTCTTGTTAATGAGAGCATTTTGGGGTGAGGTTAAAAAAGACTAGGGTTCCATGATTCTTTACGAGATAAAAATTGTACATTAACAATAAAAAAAACTCTCATATTCATGGAAATTACAGTAAAATGTTTTTTTGTTTTTGTTCATTTAACATTTTCTAGATTAACCTATGTTATGTATATTCTCCACTTGCATGCTAACAAGCTTATTTTTGGATATGATTAAAGTTAGAGGCTGAAGTAATATGTGTCACCTTAACCACCAACAAACCATCCATCTTTATTTTGTACTTCTTCATGTGGTGATGGTTAAAATAATTACAATCCTGAGAGTCATTTTAAGAGAGAGATGCCTGATCGTCACCGTGGTAATCCTTTAATTGCTTTAAGGATTCGAAGGCGTTATTGTCCCTTAGACAATAGCTACAGTTCTTGGAAATGAAAAGCCCCATTCTCCTCCTCCAACAACACCCTGAAGACATAACAAGACAAGGCGATAATGACATTACGTCACGTTAGCTACTGCGTCTTTACGAGCTCGTCTGGCTCACATTGTGATCACAATCCCATCATGCTCTGTTCCGATGTGCTGATCTCTGTAAAAAAGAGACCCCTGACTTTAGAGTGAAACAGTCTGACGATCAGGCTAAGTGAGCGGCATACAGATCAGAGGAGGTGAAGCTGGAGGATCAAACAGAGAGAGATGCAGGTCAGAGATGTAATGAGCAGCAGCAGGTATCTATTGAACCACAGGAAGAGGGGGAAGGGAGGTGTGCAGAGAAAAGGCAGAGCTTAGCAGCGAGGCAACAGGTATTGATGGAGGGTAAAGGTGAAGATTAGCAGGTCAGCCATAACATTGGACTTGTTTACGCGGACTGCAGAGACAGCACTCTCACTGATCATCCTTTCAAATTCAACATACTGAAAACACACTTTTAAAGAAGGCCTTTTTATGCTTTTGGGGGTTTTAGGTGCTGGATGTTGTAATTTTGGAGAACCAAGGTAGATGTTTCTATCCTATACCAGGCTTTGTGCTAAGCTAAGCTAAGCTAAGCTAGCCGTCTCCTGGTTTCAAGCGTTCAAAAGGCAAATACTGCACAGGCCCATAAATGAAACCAATGTGAAAGTGTAATAAAGAAGCTCTGATATGCTTAACCTTTCCTGTAGTGTGTTATAAAGGTTTTTGTGCATGTAAATCAGGGGTGTCAGACTCAAATACACAGTGGGCCAAAATAAAAAAATGGGTCCTGAGTCAAGGGCCGGACTGGATTCCAATGCTTATTGCAGAACGTACTTGAAATGAACTTATTGCACATTATTAAACCAGTGAACTAAAACAAAGCGTTAAAGACTGGTATTGCCTATAAAAGAGCAAAAAAAAAAAAACAAAAAAAAAAAAAAAAAAAAAAAGACAAAAAAAAAAAAAAAAAAAAAATAAAAAAAAAAAAAAAAAAAAAAAAAAAAAAAAACAAAAAAAAAAAAAAAAAAAAAAAAAAAAAAACAAAACATTAGAACATTAAATAATCAGTTGCATTCAATTTCTTATGGCTTCATCTGCAGCTTTTTCCAGAGTCATTTCTTTATGATTACATTTCCCCCCGCAGCCACAAACAGCTTCAATCAAAACTATTTCCTCAAAGAACAAACCGAAACATGCCCTGTTGTCTGTGAGGAGAAAGTGCAGACGGAAACATGCAAAACTCATGCTGCTCTGTATGCTACTCAGATATGCTTGGATTCTTCATCTTGGTTGCAATTCATTTCAATGTTGGTGCAGGCTCTGAGCTGAGACCCCAGGATGGAGTGAAGGTGTGTGCAATATACCCGCAATTATAGTAATTAGAAATTTGATCCTGCGTCCTGAAATTAAATCACCAAGCCTGATTGTGGCCCCCGGGCCTTGAGTTTGCACCACTTGTGATGTAAATATGGGTCTGCAAAGGTTAAAAACAGTATATGAGTTTTTTGAATCGATTAAGCATGGAAACATGTCACAGTTAAGGAATAAAAAATATAAATCTGGAAAATGGAGCATGATTATGTCCCTCTTTAAGGCTATCTGAGAAATTCTTTTAAATCGGCGTTCCTGTGAGGCTTTTTGTAACAACACTTCATGAGTTCCTCTTCTCTAAAATCATCCAACACATTCTGGGGTTTTTTCACGGCATTATCTTTTCAGAGACTGTCACACACCAAAAAAAAGAGAAGCTGTTGCTTAGGATTTTTCTAACATGATATATATGTCTATATACAGAAGCTCTTTGAATGCACTCATTCGAACCGGTGCATACAATTCTGCAGCTTGGTTCCACTTTGGCTTTCAGCTCCCGTATACTCGCACACATTTCTGCCTCGGCTCTCACTCTTCGTCTCACTTTTCTGCCCCTCGCCTGTTGCTGTGGTAACCAGCAGAGGGGGAGATTGAATTTGAGAGATTTGATGAGGGAGGCAAGACTGAAGAGGATGGA